AAAAAAAAAAAAAAAAAGAAGATGAAAGCTAGTTTTTCATAGGAGCAGGAGCTAATTTTATTTCTCTTTGGAACCTCCCAGCATGACTTAGTATAGTTTTCTTAGGACATTATTTATGGAGTTTCCCTAGGACTGAGTGGAACTCCGCAAATACTGTTGAAGTATGTTGAGCTGAAATTATACTTGAGGTGACTGATATTTATGGTAAGAATCTTATAAGACATATCTATTTCTTCTTTGGCAAAACCACAAATGAACTCAATTATCGATTCAACTTTTGTACTAATTTTAGTTTTAGAATTAAGATTCTAAAATTGGGCTTGGTGCCTGTGGCTCAAGTGGCTAAGGCACCAGCCACATACACCTAAGGTGGTGGGTTTGAATCCAGCCTGGGTCTGCCAAACAACAATGACGGCTGCAACCAAAAAATAGCCAGGTGTTGTGGTGGGCACCTGTGGTCCCAGCTACTTGGGAGGCGGAGGTAGAAGACTTGCTTGAGCCCAGGAGTTGGAGGTTGCTGTGAGCTGTGATGCTACAGCACTCTACCCAGAGGGAAAGCTTGAGGCTCTGTCTTTAAAAAAAAAAAAAAAAAAAAAAAGATTCTAAAATTCTATACAAATGGTACAGAAAAATGATCGAATAGGCCTGAAAACATTACTTTTAAAAATGGAAGTAGAATTGTTCAGAGAGAGGACTGTCTTTTGTTTAGCAAAAGACCCTGGAGCTGAGAGATGAAATCTCCACGTATAATTTACTTTGTATAAGAAAAGTATCAAGAATTGAAGGCTGGCCTCCAGAAGGGAAGCTTTCAAAGAGGAGCATAGACAGTCAAGTGAGGTGGAAATGTGGTCAGGGTCCTTCACAAAGAAAGCTGGTAAGTGGTTAAGAATAATAGGTGAGTTTTAAATGCAGGGATGGCTAGTTAGGTTTTAAATTGTTGGCTGTGTGATGCTGTAATTTGATACACTGCCCATCCTATCTCACAGCGGACCCCAACTTTTATGGCGCCAGAGACTGGTTTCATGGAAGACAATTTGACCTTGGATTGGGAGTGTTGGTGGAGGTGGAGGATGGTTGGGGGATGATTCAAGCACGTTACATTTTTTGTGCCCTTTAATTCTATTATTATTACATTGTAATATATAATGAAATCATTATTCAACTTTCCATAATGCAGAATCAGTGGGAACCCTGAGTTTGTTTTCCTGCAAACAGATGATCCCACCCAGGGGTGATGCCAGATAGCGACACCCGAAGTGTGTTGCTGCCATAGGGTGTGCCACTAGACGCAACTTGTCACTACCACTCACCAATAAGGGTTCGATATGAGTCTGCAAGCAACTGATTTATTGCAGTATCTATGCAGTCAAACCTCTCTGCCGATGATAATCTGTGTTTGCAGCAGCTCCCCAGTGCTAGCATCACCACCTCAGCTCCACCTCGGATCATCAGGCACTGGATTCTCGGCCTAGGTCCTTCTCATGTGCAGGTTACAGTAGGGTTCGTGCTCCTATGAGAATCTAATGCCACCACTAACCTGACGGGGGATGGAGGTCTGGTGGTGGTGCAAGTGATGGGGAGCAGCTGTAAATGCAGATGAAACCTGGCTGGGCTCACTAGCCCACCACTCATTTCCTGCTGCCTGGCCAGATCCCTACCCAGATGCCACCCAGCAGTTAGGGACCATAGCTATCTCGAACAGAGTTTACCAAACTAAGAAGATCCACCAGAGTGATTTTTTTCCTAAACATGGAAAGTCCGCTCCATGTTCTGCTCTGCGTCTTAAAGCACCTCTCAGATACTCTATCACTCTAAAGTGTCAGGTGACTTCTACCAAATAATGACCAGTTTTTCAAAGAGATGTGAAAAAAGATTCTAGAATGGATTCCAAAGTCAGTTGCCGAAGCCTGTGATATGATGACTGCTTGAGGAACCCCTAGGTATTTGTTTAACTGAGGGTATCTGGCCCTGCACGGCCACGGGCTGCATATGAATCTCCCCCTGTAAAGGGGGAGCTGCGGGAAAGTTACGGAGCGTGGTCTTAGTTCTGAGCTGGACCTGCTCTTCCTTCTGTTTCTCCTCCTCTACTTCTGACTCTGAGCTAACAAGTTGGATGCCCTTCTGTCTCCTGTTCTGTGTTGGATCTGATGTTCATCCCAATTTCTCTCAGCTGCGACTCTGGCTCCTCTTAAGAAAGGCTCACGTCCCCCTCTGCAGGCCTGCAGCTGCCCATCTCAGAAAGGCTCACGTCTCCCTATGCAAGGCCATGTCTGCCCATCTCAGGTCAACACCCGAGGCTTAGGTGAACTGTGGGACCTTTCCACATAGGTGGCTGCAGTGCTGGAACTGGACTGGGAAGGCACAAGCTGACATAGTTCTTCCTTCAGGTACTTGGAAAAGTCATTTTTCCTATTCTCCATGGTCCCAAGGCATAGAAGGAAGAAGGACAGAGCATGGCTCAGAACAGAAAGGTCCTTAACAGCAGACAGAGCAGCCACAGCGGTCATCTCCTCCTCACTGAAAGGGCTCAAGCAAAGGCTGGAAAACGGCACCGGGAAATGCTCTGTACCATTTGCAAAGGGAGTCCTGCATCCCGCAGGTCATTGCCCTAGAGCAATGTTTTTCAACCTTTTTTATCTCACACTTGAACCTATAAACTTCCGTGGCACACTTAAATTATGTTGATCAAAAAAAAAAAAAGTAAGAAAAACAATATACTTACTGTGCTTTGAACTTCTTTCGAAAATAATTTAATTAATGATCTTTCAAATTTTTCAAGGTACCCATAAGATCCTCTCACGGCACACCAGGGTGCCTTGGCACACGGGTTGACAATCACTGAGAGGGTTTCTTCAATGCTGACGTTCTCAGTTCCTCAATGTCTGTTGTCCTTTGAGTTGGAAAAAGAAAAAAGTCCGATGCTTGATGAGAAGGGACAATTTGGGATTAGGACTATTTCTTTTTCTTGTATTGCTAAGACAGGGGCCATGCTCATCTTCTCGTATCATTCCAGTTTTAGTAGACGTGGTGCCAGAGCACGCACTGTGAGTGAGAACTAGGGTCACTAGAATAGAGTTGTTTCCAAGAGTGAAATTAAAAATGGAGATGGGAAGCAGGAAAGTGTAAGTCTAGGTTGGGAGGGGTTGCCGTGTCCTCTATTACCCTGTGTTTTCTGTGCCGCGCAGAACGACTTACACCTAAAGAATGTCGGCCATTTTGGTCCTCCCCCACAGCTACTTTATAATAATTAGTTTTACTCCTTTTTTTTTTCACAAGCTATTACTTTAATTATTTTAATTAGATTGTTCATGCACTCAAGTTGTTTACAAGCACTTTTCTTTTTATAGCATATCAATAAACAGGAGAGGGAAACTGCCGCCTTGGAGAAGCGAGGCGGTTTCTACTAGGTAGGTCAGGCCCAGAGCGTGGAAGTAGCTTCTTCCATCCTCCCCTGGAAACCTTCCAGCATCTTGGGCTGGGAGTGGGAGTACCCTTCCTAGGAAGAGGCTATCATCCATCTGGATCCTCTGTGGCCATTGCCCCTTGAGTCAAAGCAAAGGAGAAAAATAACCTGTTTTTGGCATGCTCCTCTGACAACTAGAGTAAGTACTAAAGGTTATGGATGGTTAGTTGTGAGCTTTTATTAAAATTCCACATTCTTGGCATTTCTTAGCTGTCTGGTTTGACTCCTGGTTACGCCCCTTACTACTTGTGTGATACTGAAAAATGTACTTAACTTTCTGAATTCTTGGGGTACCTGTCTGTCAAATGAAAGCACCAAACTAGTAGGGTTATTCTGAGAATTACAGAAGTGTCAGATGGCAGGTGCTGAGACCTTTCCGGGCTTAGTGTGATCATTCAGTCATCATCGACTTTTTCCCCTCTCTTGCCTTCTTTTCTTTTCCCTAGGCTTGCTGCAGTTTTGATGTGACAAAATTAAGATTCCAAACTTCAAGGCTCTCTTCCTTCATTATTGTTCCTTCTTCTTCTTTTTTTTTTTTTTTTTTTACAGTTTTGGCAGGGGCCAGACTTGAACCCATGACCCCTGGTGTATGGGGCCAGCGCCCTACTCCTTGAGCCTCAGGCACCACCCTTCATTATGGTTCTTACACCTATTCTTTACATAAATGCATGTACAAAAGAAAATGAACAAGTACAGAAAACAATTTCTAAGGAAGAATCATGGTTTGAAAAGTCCTATTAGGACATGTGAAAGACCCAAGTTCCTTTTTTCTGTGGCCATTATATCATAGTCTCCATGCACATGTGCTGCTTGGAATGGACCTCTCTGCCTGCTGTTTCCCCCCCCCAAGGGAAAGTGAACTCCACGTGCTGTCTGCTCCATAGGCTCCGCCCACAGCCTCAGAGGATCAGGGTCCAGACCGCAAGACAGAGACACAGCTTTTGCTCCGGACACATCATTTATTTTGTTGTCCAAAGCCATGTTTTGAGTTCTTCTTTGAACAAAGCCCGGGACTCCAGAGAAGGCCTGTTGCCTTGCTTCCAGCCCAGTCTCTCATTTGCTCAGGTGTAAACTTGTAACAAAAAGAAACCAAAGCTCACCCAGGCAGCTTATTCTTCACAGTAATCCTTCCAAGCAGGGGCTCTTTAACCTTTCTGCCAGACACAGCTGTGCACTTACCACCAGTGAAGTGTGATTTAAACAAAAACAAACAAAAATTTTTGCAATGATAGAGCACAAATGAGAAAAAAAATTAAAACTTAATTGAGACAGAAATGTTCTCTCCAAGACCTTTCCCTTATGGGTCTAGAACAGAGGAGAAATAATTTGGTCTATGTCTGAACTGAAAAGTTTGCACTTGGCCTCATAAATTATATTGTTTTAATGAAATGTTATAACTGAAATTTTTTTTTGTTATAATTTAAGTAAACTGAGACCGTCCCACTTAGGTTTTCAAAAGGAATCTTTTGGCACCATCTTGTGACTATTTTAGTGCGAACAAGAACAAAGAACAGCTGCTTGCTTGCTTAAGATTGCAAAAGGAATCTTCTAGCACCCTCTTGAGGCACATTACTGACCTGGGAGAAAGAACATCAGGGTGACCGCTGAGGAATTGTTCTTGCTGTTGTAACTGTTAGTGACTCCCTGAAAAACCATAGTGAAGCCACATTTTTATTAACTGTTACATGTAGTATCAGAAATATCAATAGAGTCTCATTTTAACCTCAAAGATGGAAGTAGAGGGAAATGCTCGACAAATTTGAAATGTTTAAAAATCTCATAAGGGGACAGTGCCTGTGGCTCAGTGGGTAGGGTGCTGCCCCGTATACTGAGGGTGGTGGGTTCAAACCCAGCCCTGGCCAAACTGCAACAAAAATAAAAAAATAGCCGGGTGTTGTTGTGAGCATCTGTAGTCCCAGTTGCTCAGGGGAGGCTGAGGCCAGAGAATCACCTAAGCCTAAGAGCTGGAAGTTGCTGTGAGCTGTGATGCGACAGCACTCTATCGTGGGTGATAAAGTAAGACTCTGTCTCTTAAAAAAAAAAAAAAAAAGAATCTCAGACCATTAAAGCTGACCAGCCAAAGAAAGCATAAGCTACATGTATGCTATTTCCACATAGCAGCCCCACTTTGACTGGTAAATAGAAATGCCCCTAAGCCAGAAACAAAGCTTTCTCTACATGGTTCAGGTAGGTTCTAATTTCATCACATGTAATTTTACACGTGATTTCTCACCACCCAGGGTGGGCCCTCTACCATAATTTTCATCTCCCAAAGAGAAAATTGAAGCACAAAGGCCAATGACGGTCAGCAGCAGAGCTGGGGCGTGAAGTAGGCCATGATAGCAGCTACCCCCAGAACCCTCAGCCCCCACTCCTACTTCGCGCTACCTGCTACCGTGACTTTGCCTGTGATTTTAGTGTCTGCCATCCCCTGCTTTTAACCTTCACGACTGTCAGAGCCCTTTAGCAATGTCATCTAATCGCTTGTTAGTGGTGTGAATCCTGAAAACTATGCCTGAAAGGCCCCAGTTTGAAGCAGACTTGAGGTGTGATAAAATTTGAAGTATGATATAAGAAATATGGATAGAGTATTATTTTAACTTCAAAAATGGAAATAAAGAAAATCCTTCCACATTTTCTGCATTTGCTAAAACTACAAAATCTCAAAGCTGGCCCGCCAAGCCATTTTGATAATATCTACACTATCCAAGTAGGATAAACTTTGTGGGTTTCTCAATCATGGAAATTTTGCGGTTTGAGCCTGACAATTCTTTGTTGTTAGGGGCTGTCTGTGCACCGTGCAGTATTTGACAGCATCCCCGAATCCCGTGCAGGAGGCCAGTAACACCCTTCCAGTCGTGATAATCAAAAATGTCTCCAGATGTCGCCAAATGGCTGGAGGAGGGTGGAAAAGAGGCCCCAGATTCCCCTGGAGATGAAGTGCACTGTGAAATAGTAGAGAAAAAGTGAAAATTAAAGCAGCATTAGAGCTGCTATGACTTTAATGTTCCCAAATTGTCCCGGAACCAGGAAAGAAGAGTCGGGAACATGTAAAGTTGTCATTGGCTTGGCTACAAGATCAGCTCCTAGAAAAATGCCACGAAAGTGTCATGTTTATACATCAAGCAGGGTAAGAGTGCAATGTGTCCCCCCCATCATGTTGAATCCTAAGGAAAAATCAATCTTGAGTATGTAAGATTTGCATAATTAAGTTGTATGATTGCATCATAAAACATGACTGCTATATTTCCAGAAGACTCTGAAGACTTATTCTCATGATCTCTTGATCTTCAGGTTCTCTGTGGTTTCAACTTAATGTAACGTTTCACTTATTTTTCTCTGCAACCTTTTTTTCTGAGCTTTTATCAGTCAACAGTTGCAATTCCTCCTCTTATTTGATATTAGCTGTAAGATTTATATCTCCTCCCTCCAGATAGAAACTCTTCTTTTTTTTGAGACAGAGCCTCAAGCTGTCCCCCTGGGCAGAGTGCCGTGGCATTACGGCTCACAGCAACCTCCAACTCCTGGGCTCAAGCGAGTCTCCTGCCTCAGCCTCCCAAGTAGCTGGGACCACAGGCGCCCGCCACAACGCCCGGCCATTTTTTGGTTGCAGTCGTCATTGTTGTTTGGCGAGTCCGGGCTGGGGACCCGAACCCGCCACCCTAGGTGCACGTGGCTGGCGCCCTAGCCGGTTGAGCTATAGGCGCCGAGCCAGATAGAAACTCTTCTAAGAAGAGTTTCCAAGAATAACCTCATTTCTTCCACCAATATCTATAAAAGCTTAACACCTTAAATATTTCAAAATGTCATTACTTTTGGCTACCCCTTTTAACCCCTACCTTTTTGCTGTTGTCAATATTTTATTTATCATTCATTTGATAGTTGCCTATTATATTCCAGTGTTAAGTGCCAAGGGTACGTAAAGCATTCAGCTGGCCGCTAAGGAGCCCAGGTGCAGTCCAGCGCAGAAAAGAAGAGAGAGTACATCGTGGGTAACGAGTGATAGAATTCAGGTGTCAACAAAGGCTGTGGGAGCCTAAAAGAGGAACAAAGTTGGAGAAGGTATCACAGAGGAGGCTGCAATTACTCTGGGAATAGAAGAAGAAATAGAAGTTTGCCAGGCCAAGGAAATGACAGCAAAAGAGCACCCCAGGCAGGATGAATAACAGAGGCAAAGACCAGCGCTGTGTATAAGGTCTGGTTGGTGTCTGTTCCTGCAGAAGGCACTCTTCCCCCAAATGGGGCTTCTTTCCTTCCGCCCATAGCACTCAGGGCCACCAAATCCCAGGTTTCCTTTTCTCTAACCACACCAGGGCACATGCTCCTGGCCTTGCCACTCTTGGCCACTCCCTCATTGGGTACACGCTCCTTCTCTGCTCATATTCGTTTGCCAGACACGTCTCTCCATCTCTATCTTCTCTGTCTCTGCAAACCTTCATCTCTTGCCATGGAGCCCTTACCACTACTCAGACACAACCTACAACTGCTTTAGAATCTGATGAGAACCTGACTGCTCCTGGCCACAATCTCTGCCCTTTCCAAACTATCTGACTCCCTCTTCTGGACCAAGAATCAC